CGGCGAGGATTCCCTTGCCGGGAGCGACGATCCTCTGAGCAATATCACTGAGCTCCTTCTTCTGCTCAGGAGTGAGGAAGGGGTATGCGTGAGGCATCCTGACTCTAGGAGGAAGCCAAAGGATAAGGTAATTAGGAAATATAAAATACAAAATAGAATATAAAAATATTTCATTTGGCAAGACACAGAGCTAAAATTAGGCAGAACTCTAAGTTGAAAAGTTCAACAGAATTCAAGCTGCAAAGATTGACATTTGGGTCTGTGGTTTCTCTTGTAGATGTGTGAGAAAGTGCGAAACATTTGATTGACTGCAGGAAGTGGTGAAACAAGAGTCTAACTACGTGGTTGCGCGTTTTAAAGTCTGTCTCCTGTCATTTTAAAAGTCAGGCCAGCTGGCATCCCGACCGTGTGACTATACAGTTGTTACAGCCAAAACTGTCTCAGTGCCATATGGCACTTTATGTGCTGAGATTACACACTACTCCTCAGGCACAACACGCAGTCGCACAGGGGATCCAGTGTCAGAGAGCCCTCCGCCCTCCTCTGCCCCGCCCTTCACTTATCTGACCACCCTTGAAAGAAAAAAAAAAAAAAAAAGACAAGCACGCAGATGACGGATTCCATTTTCTAGCCTCTTATCCCTGACCTTTCCCTTCCCCTTCCCTCCCCATTCCTCCCTCCATGCTCTCCTATCTCATACCTCCTCTACACACACCCCCTTCACTTCCCCCTGTCTGTGCCTCCTCTATCAACTGGCAGGACTAAATATACACAGTGGACAGTGTAAAGCACTATAGCTCAGCAAGAAGCCATTTCATAAAAGAGAATCGTGCAGCTTTGCACTGCTTTGTTCAGAAGGCATGCAATCTACAGGAACATTACAAACCACACAGCCTGGGCAAATATGGACATTTTTAAATAGCAGCTTACCCAGACTAGTGAGTCACAACCAACCCCACAAAAAACATGCAGTGGAAACTTTTCATCAGATTAACAGGAATGTGGCAACAACCAGTGATGCACTCAAGACACATGAGTTCAACTGCTCAGTAAGGACAATTAGTTGGTCATGTAACAAAGCTATATGTTAAAATACATGATGCAGAGATAGAGCAGTGAATGTGTTACAAAAGAGATACTACAGTCTGTTTCAGTGGTTAGTTGTCAAGAGTTAAATAAGAGGCCCTGTGTGTGTCTGTGGGTTAAATGTGACACACAGATAGCTCTACTTTTCAAGTAACCACAAAGTTGCATGAGCTAGAACATTTGGTGAAACGTAACATCTCTAGCATGTGGTAAAGGTCTGCACAAGAATGCACAACAGGCAGCACAAGAAAGCCAATTATTGCAATGCAGTCATCTCATAGATGTAGTGAAATTTCCTGTTCTTTTACCTTTGAGGTGAGGAGGAGAGCTGAGAGAGAAGAGAGAGGGAGGGAGAAGATCCGGCCTTCGTCTGCGACACCCCTTCCAGCCCGCTGGCCCTTGTATTTATCCTCCCATTGTGACCCCTCACATTTTAGCTTCCCAGCTATAAAAAGAACTGGACGCAACCAGAGATGGCTTGTGACATTCAGAGAGACTGGGGCTGGAGTAACATGGTGGTGAGCAGCTAGTGAAAGGGCAAAGAGTGTTTCAGTGAATGGCAGGGAAAGCGACAGAGTCAGGATCAGTTAGAGTGGAAAGAGTAGGGGAGAGACGAGTAGAAATATCACGTGAAGGTATAGCATGACTAGGCAGGCAGATGGGGAGGGGGAAATATTATAAAAAGTATTTTTTTTAAAATGACATTGGGGAATTATTCTCATTTGGATGCGTTCCCTACATTGTCCTCTGCACCCTGTGCATTCTGGTTTGGGGCATTTTTAAGATTGTTTGTTGCATACATAAATAATTTCATGCACTATTCAAGTGCAGCATGATCAAAATTTGCTGTCTCAAACTGAGAGGAGCATCTCAGCACACAAAGGTCATTCAAAAGGGTATATGGAGGAAGATTACTTATATGCAGTGTGCACTTATAGCACACACAGACACACATGCACACTCACACGGAGGCTTAAAGAGCATGTGACAACATCACTAACCTGCCCGTAGAAATCAGATCCAGACACAGCAACTTGGTGCGATGATCCTTGACCTTTTTGTGACCTTTCTCGATGGTCTGTACTCGTCAGAAAAGGGTCAGCAGGTGAGCTTAATGGCAAAGGTTCGTATCTGTTTCATTTTCTCACTCGTGTAGGTTGCCAGAAAGCACAAGTCAGATGCACCAATGAGACGAGCAGAGCACTGGGCTTTGTGTATCACTGACAATCGAGAAAACGCTTTATTTGTGGTGAGAGGTGGCAGGAAAAGAAGGGTCATTTCCTGTACAGAGGTCGTGGGCTGAAACAGATAACATGCAAAGTTGCAGAAAAGGCACAGACTAAGCAGGGTCACTTGGCTTATCATCAAAAAGCAGATGGGGTTCAGAAAATATGAGGGTTTTTTTTTGATGAAGTCATGAACAAAGTCATGCTGAATATTTCATTTTATTCTCTGTCACACACAGAGGAAGACAGCAGTGATGCTCTTGCTATTCATGACATAATTAAACAAACTCTATATCCAATCAGATGAATTTTTCCCTTCTTTTGTTCCCTTAGACCAGGCATGTCCAAAGGCTCGCCCGGGTGCCAATTGTGGCCCGCAGACCAATTTTAACCGGCCCTCGGCTTGACTTTCAAAATATACCATATGTGGCCCTTTACACAATAATGGTTAATCGAGCAAGATCACTTTACATTTTAACCCTTCACCTCACAATGATAGCACTGTCATACAGTTTGTAGGCAGGCATCACATAGTAATAGTTCATTAAAAGATAAAAATGGTTGCATTTGTCTCACTTTTTTTTTTTTTTTTTAACCCATTTGATGCGAGAATCAGTTGGCCCCCAGGTACTTTCACCTTGTTTTATCTGGGCCCCATTCAAAAAAGTTTGGACACCCCTGCCTTAGACAGTGAAATAACCATAGCACCTGCAATCATTTTTCTATTTCAAAAATCATATATAAACGGACAACAGCAAGTCAGAATGCCTCAACCAAAATTCAGGGACCGCTAAAAGGAAAAGTCAGAGTACAGAGAGAACACGACAATGAAAGGAGCAGAGAGGCGATGTACACATGTGAGGAAGTAGCAAGTACTAGAGGCAGAGCTGAAGGCGAGAAGTGAGGCAGACTATTGTTAGCAAACAAAACCTAAAGCTACAGTGAAGACAGAAGTATCATATTAGAGGACCTGAGGCACCCATTGGTACCAACCATGTTAAGCTATCTTGTCAGAGACGGGGCCAAATAAAGCTTCAAATTTAAACTAAATTTTGATGAGAGTAAAAGGAACATTTTCTTGAAATTACATAACTTGTGCTTGACTGGAAAACTGAGAGTTGACAACTGTATACTCTTTACACTATTTTAGTTCAGCACACAATTTGACCACTATATGATTAAAGTAGCATCAAGATTAAATGAATAAATGAAGAAAAAGTATTAGGCCTATTTGCTCACTCATGATTTGCTCATATGATTTAAGATGATGCAGTCATTTCTTCAATCAGTATTTGATTTGGTTTTTCTCTAATCATTCATTGGAAGGCATTTTTTCAGCCCAGGACACACATGCGAGTACCTCTGCTTTTTAAAATTAAAGGTCTTAACACAGAGTAGATACTAAATACACAGAGAAATATGATTTACTGGATTATAAACACAGGACACAATTTTGTGTTTGGGTCCCGCTGATCCCAAATAGCTATGAGAAATCAAAAATGTGTACCAAACAAAAGCTCATGTTAATTAAGGTTAGTTAGTTAGTCACCACAATAAAATATTGGTATTGTCTTTTTCTGCAAACCAAAGATAGGTTAACTCTTTTCATACTGATCATATCAACATTTCTAAAGGGATGTAGTTTATATGTATATGAGGTGAGATTCTTATCACTAAGAGGAGAGAAACCTGGATGGTGTGACACCTAGTAGGTGAGACACTTGCTTAGCAACAGACCACTGTTAGGTGAGTATTTTTAACCCTAACCAAGTGGCCTTTGTGCTTAAACCTAAGCCTGCATTAACCACAGCGGTGTCACGACATAAAAATGAACGCAGAAATGTCAACGTTCAACATATCTGCTCCATATGAAACCTACAAATGTAACATATTTGTGATTTGAGGAAATGTACAATACAAACATTTCTTCTGGCGATGGGGTTGACTCCTCTACAAGCTGGTGGTTCCTGCCTCTTATCAACTGGTACACAGGCTCATAAATGGGATGAGACAGAGCAGAGGAAGTCAAGCAAAAAGGAGAAATGGACCTTTTCTATTTTTAGTTTTCTTTTCGTGAGACAGCACATTTAAACAGTGCTTTCATGTGTGTTCAGTTACCTATGGTGAAGTTGGGCCAGATAATGAATTCAAATGTATTTTTGATATGAAATTGAGCTTCCTCTTTCCCCAGTCGGTCTGGGAAGGAGACGAGAGACATCAACAATACTGCCAAGGAAAAAAGGAACCATTTTAATATGTCAAGGAAAGCAAGCAGTTTGTGCCTTAACGCACACAGCTGAATGCTCAAGAGGCCTGTTTGTTGCTGCTGCTGTGGATACGGTCACAACTTTGAAGTGATGAAATAATGATTCAGCCCAATGAGAACACTTTCATGAAAAAAAAAACACAACCAGTATCTAACAGGCACTTCCTTTTTTTTCTGCAAGGAATTCAGCACCATACCTACCAAGAACTGTGAGTTGTTTTATTTCATTATTGATCGTTATAATTTTTTTTTTAAACAGACAACAAACAATTAAACAACACCTATGCTTTGTGCACCCAAGCGACAACAGCTCAAATAAAACAGAAAGTGTTGCAACTCCTCCTACATAAGAGTTCCTCTAACTGGCTGCCTTAGCACTGAGCCGTCACCTTTTGATTTCTGCATTTTGCTTTCGACAACCCCCTCCTTGACAGTTTCTGTTGTGGAAATAGTTAAGTGGGTCGCCAGAAAGCACAAAAGTTGCCAAATACAAGCGTATGAGCTCAGAGGATACATCACCCTTGTAGTACTTTTCATGGGAGTAACACAATGGACTGGATAATTATTACTGCAGTATTCTTGTCAGGTAAGAAAATTTAAACCTCCTGTTTTTGCCTCTTTATTAATATTTGTGCCAGCAGTAAAAATAAATCCTGTCATTCCATTTAATGACATTTTCTGACTTATTTGTGTTCCTATAATGGCATCCTGGAAGCATACTATTATCAGTTATTACACCAGGTCTCAAAAATTATTAACTGTCATAACAATATGTACAAAAATTAAGATGATCAATGCCACATTTGTATTTCATCCTCTGTGAATTAAACTATCTGTGTCATCAACATTATGGCTTTGTACAATTACAATTACATTACAAGTATAGTGCAAAAAAAAAAAAAAAATTGAGTCAGACTTATGTCAGATGATTTTTGACCTTCTAAACCTGCCATATTGTCACTGCATCTGTTACTGTAATGCCATTAAAAGTTTGCACAGAGTGGATGTTTGCAAGAATTGTTTCACTGCAACAAATAGATCACACCTGAAATAGTCCTATTAGGTGTATGACAGACTTAAAAATAAACACATGACATTTTGTCAGGGCCCTGCACGCACCAAATTTGGTCAACATTGGCCTCAATTCAAAATGGCGCAAAGGTGGGTGTGACTGACAGACTTTTATCGAGGCATGAAATCCAACACAAATGAATTTTTGCTTCTCAGTCTCACGGTTTAACACCTCTCACCACTCACCACTCACCTCAAACTAAATGCTAGTTCCTTGTCTTGTGGCCACCTGTGTAACTGAATGTGAGATCCTAAATTATAATCCATCACTGTGTTCATTCATTATGTATATCTGCTTAGTGAGTGCTGGGTTACAGGGTGACTGGAGGCGTTGGTCACTCTAGACAGGTCAACAGTCTAACATCCTAAATCGTTATTATGCATTAATTAAAACTTACCATAAACAGCCTGCAATGGATGCGACTCAACTCTACATAGGTGTGTTTACCAACTCACATCCTATTCATCTCTGACACTTGTTCTCAGCAGGTGGTGAGAACTGCAGCCACCTTAGTGATATTATCTGCTGCTGGTGGTTTAGTTTATTTCAGAATGTATTTAGTGACGCACAATCAAGAAATGGAGACACTTCCCCACCTAAAGCTCTACTAGCCATGAGAAAAAGGAGAACCTGAGCGTGTTAGTCTATATATATATATATATAAATATATATATACATACAGGGTACCAAAATTCAGGAATATCTACCGGAAGTGTCAGGCCAGTGTCAGCCTGCGGTTCAACAGATCTAATAAGAGGAAGCTGTTATCTGCTCCCACCTCTTGTAACTTTGAGGAACTATGAGGAAACATTTTTTTCAAGCAAGTCAGTGTTTGTGTCTCACTGACCATTTTTAGAAAATCTCTATGGCCAAAAAAGGGAAAAAAAAAAAAGGAAGGAAGGCTTTAAGGAAGAAAATCACTCATCGTCAGAAAACCCCACGCAAATTTCTGCTGTAAAAATTCCATGTCTCTCCTCCTTATCCTTCCGCCTCTAATGTCATTTGCCAGAATCTACCACAGCGCACTGAAAACAACCAGTCAGAGCCGAGAAGTCTCTAACGCAGCTGTCAGTTATATCAATCACTGCATGTGGACTGCAGTTAAACTGTCAAACTAGGCAAAACTGATCAATTATGAATCACGATTCTGTCACTGCATTGTATATTTCTCACCTCAAATGTTCTCAGAAACAAATTTTAGTGTACTGTTTAGTTATTAAATGAGAAAGTTGGTGACCCAGCTGCCATGCTGGAAACAGTTGACCAAAGTACCAACAAGCACCGCCCACCAGTCGGAGTAAACTTTATCATTTTACAGCTAACAGTACACCATAATATGTTGAAAACATTTGAGGTGAGAAATAGGCAATGCAGTAATCATGATTCATATTCAATCAGTGCTGCCTAGTTTGACTGTTTGACCGCGGTTCATGAGCAGCAATTGACATGATTGACCAACCCGGTCTCACTCAGAACTCATCAAATACTGACACTTGATCACAAGCATTCGGCATCAAATATCAACGCCCAGAGGTACCCTTCAGCAGCCTGTTTTTGTGCGTGGTTTTTTTTTTGGCTTTTGCCTTTAATTAATTGGGCAGTTTAAGCACATGTAGCAACAGGCTAGAATCAAGCCTGCGGCCACTGCGGCAAGAACATGGCCTTGGCAGCATTTTTTGTCATTCTGAGCATCTCCTGTAGTTTAAAGAGCAAGAGAGTCAGCATAGTGTGAGTGGGAGGTGGTGGATGGGTCAGTGGGAGAGATGGGATGGGAGAGGTCACCGTTGACTGAAACAAAAAGTAAATCGAGTCATTTTAATACCATCATAGTGTGCCTGTGCCATAGACTGTAAAAATAATGACTTCACCCAGTGGTTTATAGACTCCCATTCTGAAGCCTCAAGTTTGGCATTTCAGCCGTCACCATCTTGATTTTTTGAGCCCACTCACTCCGAAGTCATCAAAATCCAGGGCTTGGGCAGTGACTTGCGGCGTCAGACACTGACAAAAAAGGCCATCCCTTAACATTGGCATGATATGCAATTAACTATAACGGCGCCTGGTGGCGTCAGGGGGAAACACAGCAGGACAAGGATGAAAGTTAAGGTGGCGAAAGTCCAAGTAGGGCAGCCAAGATGGGTGGTGGATGGATCTAACAAACACCAACTTTCACCAAGGAGAGTGGTGTTCATGTCCCATAAGACTCTAAAGCCAAACTGCTTTTTCCCCCCAAAACGTAACCACGTGCATTTGTTGTTGAAGGAGAAAAAACAATAATTTGCAGTGTTGTACCAATGTGGTGCTTTTATTTTGAAAGAGACTGTATGTAAACGTTAAATTTCCTGAGGAAACTGAAGTGTATCTTGAAAGAAGACAATGCATGTAATCAATCAATCAATCAATCAATCAATTATATTTATAAAGCCCAATATCACAAATCACAATTTGCCTCACAGGGCTTTACAGCATAAGACATCCCTCTGTCCTTTGGACCCTCGCAGCAGATAAGGAAAAACTCCCCCAAAAAAACCTTTAACGGGGAAAAAATGGTAGAAACCTCAGGAAGAGCAACTGAGGAGGGATCCCTCTTCCAGGACGGACAGACGTACAATAGATGTCATACAGAAGAGATCAACATGATAAATTAACAGTAATCTGTATGACACAATGAGACATAAAGAGAGACAGAGACAGGCAGAACTTGACAGTGTCCCAGAACGTCAACAACCAAAGCACCCAGGGTGCCTTGCATGTTGTATGTGGATGTGGAAAGTCCATGACCAAGCACGTCAACATGTGTACAAGGTCAGAGTGAGAATGTGTTGGTTTTTTGGAGCCAGAGGTGATCATATTTGGCCGAGAGGTTGGACATTAGCTATAGAGACTAAAAATGTTTGTTGTACCAGGCTGTAAACATGTTGAATTCTGCTGTAAACATGGGGGTCTATGGGGACCGAATAGCTTCTGGAGTTAGCCTTAAGTTTCCATTTGAGGAACTGCAGTTTTTGGTACTTCCGTGTTTGCGTCATTGTTCAGCCCTGGAGGCTGCGATTGGCTAGTATGTGTAGCATGCTATGCTACTGAAGTATGTCACGTGATGGTACATTACATTGGTAAGAAATGTAGTTAATTTAGGTCAAACCATGATGCTTTTTTCTAAACCTCGTTTTTTTTGCCTAATCCTATGGAAGTGAACCTAAAAATGAACTGTTTTGTCAATGCTGGAAGTATATTTTGTAAAGAGACTGTATGCATACAACAAGCAGAAACTGTACCTTTGCTGCCAAAACTGAAGTTTATTTTGAAAAGACACAAAGCATGAAACAAGTGTAAATTGGCACGCCCAGCTCAACTGGTCATTATTATGTCATTATTAATATCACTAATTGTTAAGGGCCTTTATGTTTAGAATTTGAAAATTTCTAGTTTTAGCGCCCCCTTGTGGTATTATCATAAAAGATGCTGTGGCAGACATTAATTCACAGCACTAGACCCTTTGAATTAACTAAGAGCAGCACATAGAGAATACATTTTCCAACAAAATCAAACACGTGTCATGTAGAATCATTTTAAAGTTGCAATAACAGTCTGCACAGAGTGGGGTTAAATCAGATGATCAGATTAAAATAGTGGGGTTTTTCTTCTTCATTCCTCAGTGTTAAAAACCACACTTGGTTTCAATATCGATCCCAAGGCTTGGAAGGTCCTGTCTAACCCCGCTGAAGGATTTGGATACCAGGTGGTGCAGAGACCATCCAGGTAAGTCAAAGCATGGATGTTTGAACATTTTCAGTCATGTGTGTCTCACTCTAATATCTGATAAAGCACGTAGCATTTATTGTCATGTAGGAAATAAAATGTGTGTCTCATTTGGCTCTTTTCTATATTTGTCTGGTTGTATTTCGTCAGCTTGCTGGTCAGTGCTCCTCTTTACCAGTATTCACAAGACGGAAGGGGACAGATATATGCATGCTCCACCGATAGCTGCCGTGACATACCAGTTTCATGTAAGCAATTTCTCATTTCCAAATGCTTCATATACATTAAACTAAACAAGTAATAATTCTGATAACCAGTCATCATTGAAAGAAATTACAAGCATGAGGGGCTTGGTTAAGAACTTCTTAAGACCAATGTTCAAGAAGATCTTATGTGGACTACCTTATAGATTTAGTTTCAGGATAATTCTAGAAAAGATACTGAGATAGCTTTTCTCAAAGTATCTTTTGTGTGTTGACTTTAGTAGTTAACAGATGAAGTAAAGCAAGAACAAGTATTTGTTGTTGTTCCCACTACAATTACGTTTGTTTCTGCATATTTTAAGGGTATTTTCACACTTGGTCCTTACCAGCCCTCTAAGCAGTGACTCAGCATTTTTTGCGTATATGTGAACATGCCGAAAGAACTGGTTGGCTTCAAGTCTGCAGTGTGGTTTGCTTAATCTGTGCACTGTGAACACAAGGCGCTCCAGGTTCGCTTTGCTCTTTGCCATTGTATTCAGCCCTCTAGACCACATGCTGTTGCACTGGGACGCTTGGAAAAACAGACGAAACCACATTGGCTTATTTCGTCTGTTTGTTCAGGCAGGATGCAGGACGAGGAGTAGGTTGGTCCACAGAAGATACTGCATGTCTCCAGATGTGGAATGTAGAATACAGTCTACAGCACAGAAATGCTAAGGTTCTCCTCTTATTTTAAGTTCATCTGAAAGTATGGGGCGTCATTACCGCACTGCACTGACACACTGAAGTAAAAACAAAACTATGTGGGCTATAGTGTGAACAGAGAGAGAACTGAGGCCCCATCGTGCTGACGTTGACCAGAAAGAGAACTGAGTCCTCTTTCAAATGAACTGACAATATGAACACAAAAAGGCCTGAGTCCCTTTTCTGTTGGTCCACTTCTTGGACCAACAGTAAACACAGTTTGTCGCTGCATCTACAAATGCAAGTCTAGACTCTACCATGCAGAGTGAAGGCCATATCAACAGCATCCAGAAACACTGCCAACTTCTCTGAACCTGAGCTCATCTGAGATGGCCTGACACAAAGTGGAACAGTGTGCTGTGGTCTGATGAGTCCACATTTCAAATTGTTTTTGGAAGTCATGGACATCTTGTCCTCTGGAATAAAGAGGAAAAGAGCTGTCTAAGTTGTTACCAGCTCAAAATTCAAAGCCAGCATCTGTGATGGTATGGAGGTTTGTTAGTGCTCATGGCATCATGGGTAACCTGCACATTTGTGAAGGCAACGTGAATACAGAAAGGAACATACAGGTTTTGGAGCATCATATGCTGCCATCCAGACGGCGTCTTTTTTAGGGATGTCCCCGCTCATTACAGCAGGACAAGGCTGAGCCTCATTCTCCATGTGCTACAACAGCCCGGCTTCATAGAAAAAGAGTGCAGATACTAGACCGGCCTGCCTGCAGTCCAGACCTTATGCTTTACACAGCGTCCCAACTTTTTTGGAATTGGAGTTATAGTCATCAGACAACATAAGGAAGTATAAAGAGGTATATTACTGGCGGGAGCTTGTTTGTAGTGGTCACTGAGACTGTTGTTGTGTTGCTATCACAAATTGTCTTGAATCAGTTTTTTGAACCTGACTGACAAATGTTTTCACCGCAGTGCCAGATTTTGCCGTAAACATGTCTCTTGGTTTGACAATGATAAGCAATCCCTCGACACAGAACACCGTGGTGAGCCATTAAACTGCAAATATTCACAATTCACTTCAACTTTTCTTTGTCTTTCTGGTGAAATCTCTTTCTTGCTGCCTTACATCAAACACACAGTAAAGACAGCAACATATTATTTACTGATCAGGACTGTCTCGTTTCAGGCATGTGGTCCAACCATCCCAATGGACTGCAAAAGTATCACCATGTACAGTGGTGCGTGCTTGCAGATAGACAGTTCGAACAGAATGATAGGTGGTCTTATACCTTCTTATAATAAAGGTAACACACACACACACACACACACACACACACACACACTCTTTTCTTGAGTGGTGAGCCTTAATTCATCCCTCTTCATATAAACAGCTAACTGGACCATTTTAAAGCATTTTGGAACAAAAATCTTAGGCTAGTAGTTCTCAAAGTTTCGATGACTGAGTCATGATGATGTCCAAGTTTGATGTCGTAATGCAAACATGTGAGGCCCCATTGCAGCTAACTATGACTTAGACCCTTTCCTGCAGCACAGAGCAGGCGAACTTTAACATCTTTCATACTGGGGACTGAGGACACTGATCATTTCAAACGCATGACGACATTTAACAGACCACTTGTATGAATATCTCTCTTGGTTTGAAGTGAAAAACAGATTGCTGTGCTCACTGTTGGTTTTCCTTAGGAATGTCATAACAACATGAGAAAGAAAAAACATGAATATCTGTATTTGAAATGGGTGCAGGAGGGTATGGGGCGAGTTTAGCTCGCTAGTAGTTCTGAAGTAGGTCATCATGGAATGATCTTGTGTCTTCGCGAAAAGGTAGCTGGTTTTTCGGACCACCATTACAGATATTAACTCAATCATCAAGAGATAGACAGCGGAGTCAGAGGGACTTGAGGTGGCTCCAGCCTCCCTTCTCTCTCACACACACACTCACACACAGTACCTTATTGGAGTCTGGTCATCATGACTCAATGCGTCACAGCTGACTCACGAGACATCATGTGCAGTAACGCAACATGAAGGAAACAGCATGGACATATTCATGAACAATCTGCGTTAACCATGCACTCCCACACTTTTACACCAACTACCTCAGCTTTGACTTATATGTTATTTATAAGCAACCCGACTTATATCATCCATACTAGTCACTTGTTGTTTTTTTGCATCTTCCTGTTGTGTAGTTTTATATTTGCACTATATTTGATTTCATATTTGCTATACATTTGGTTTTCTGCTAATGTTATTTTAGTCCATGTACATTGCACTCTTTTTATCTGCAGCCCTTCGGCTTTGTATTGCAACTGCCGCACAGCAATTTCACATGGGATAAATAAAGATCTTATCATATCTTATCTTATCTTGTCTTATGTCATTCAAAGAAGCAAATGCAAATACTGAGACAAAAAAGTTTATAGTTTAGTTTACAGTTTGTATTCTACAGGTATAATTTAACACAATGCCGCCGTCATATGATCAGCTTGCACCTCCTACAACGAAATAGTTATATATAAATAATACTACGTGTTGTGGTCTCTCAAATGATGCAGGTACACTGGAAGAGTGCAAGGGGACGTTGTATTACATTTTCTGTGTTCTGTTTGCTGCATTTTTGGGACGTGAAATGTGTGAAAAAAATGCTTGAACTAACTTATAAGTGGCTTGAAATCTCTTTGACAGAGTGCCGATCAGCAGACATTGCGTTCCTGTTGGACGGTTCAGGCAGCGTATCCAGACAGGATTTTTACACAATGAAGACTTTCGTGAAAAATCTGGTCCGCTCACTCCTGCCATTAGATACAAAGGTAATGTTATGTTTACACTGCCAGTTTGTTCATAGCACAGACTCTGAGAACTCATTTCTGGTGCAATGTTGACTGAAAGGGCTAATTTCACAATCCTTTATCATGTGACAGTTACATTTACAAATTTAAGAGTTGATGTTTAAATCACTAACAGACTGTTGAATTTGACTGTGCTGCATTTTTCTTTTTCTCCTATTTTTGCAGTTTGCTATTGCCCAGTTCTCCGAAGATCCCCGAGTAGAATATTACTTTGATGATTTTTCCTCTGGAGCTAAATCATGGCAACAAAAAGTTGATGACATTCAGCAACTACGGTCAACAACTTACACAGCTAAAGCCATCAAGTTTGTGGTGTAAGTGCTGTCATCCTGCTGACATGAAGAAGTTCTTAGGAATTCCTTATTTAAGTTAAATGCCAAAATGTACTGCATCTGTCAAAACGGGGCAAGGTGAATTTTAGTGAATTTTTCTGCATTAAGTTTTGCCTTTTCTCTATCACTTTATGATGTGAACATCTTTAACTGTATCTAAAAAAGTGCCCTACTACTTTCATGTATTTGTTGGAGTTGACAAATGCACGTTCTAGCAACCAAAAAAACCCCAAACAAAAACACTATTTATTGATTAAGATTACAGATTTCACTGGGTTTGAACATTGTTGGAAACATTTAGGATAATGTAATGTAATGACACCATACCATACCATACCATACCATACCAATTTATTTATATAGCACATTTAAAACAACAGAGCTGAGACCAAAGTGCTTTACAAGTAAAAGAAAAAACAGGTAACAACGCACAATCACAACTCATAAATAAAAAAAGACAAACACAGCGTCACATGAAGAACACCAATCACTCAGGCTGTGCTTGAAAAAGCCAAAGAATAAAAATGTGTCTTGAGGCGTGATTTAAACAACTGCAGAGTGGGGGCTTGCCTAACATGCAGAGGCAGCTCGTTCCAAAGTTTTGGAGCTGCCACTGTGAAAGCCCGATTTCCCCTGAGCTTCAGTCTGGATTTAGGGACAGCTAGGAGAAGCTGATCGGAGGACCTGAGGGACCTTGGAGGGACATAGGGTTGCAGCAGGTTGTAGAGGTAGATGGGTGCCAAGCCGTTAAGGCACTTGAAAGCAAACAGCAGAATTTTGAAATCAATCCTATGGCGCACAGGAAGCCAATGGAGGGAGGCAAGTACGGGACTAATGTGCTCTTGCTTACGTTTACCAGTTAGCAGATGAGCAGCGGCGTTCTGGACTAACTGTAAGCGAGAGATGGAGGCCTGAACGTGATAGAAAAGATTTAACCTTGGACAGCCTCCTGAGCTGGAAGAAGCTCTTTCGCACTACATCATTTACAGTATCTGTTTGTCCATCTTATAAGTAGTATATAAGTAGAAGTATATATCATGAGTTTAGTCGTGTTTGGACATTTTAATGTGGAAATGTTACATATCATATCCTTAAAGCAGCTATATGTAGAAGCATTTTGGCTTCTCAAAAGCTTCATTTCTTAGTATCATCAAGGTCTTAGGACTTTTCTGAACAAGTTTGAGGTGGGTCTGATTAACCTGCTAGAAGGAGGACATTAAAATATAAATGTTGTTATTTCCTGTTGCAAGTAAGGGGCACTATGAATAGGATTCAAACTTCCTCTGTTGAGGTGTTTAGGCCATGACTGTCATCATTTGTGTGAGACAGATAAGAAGGAGAGATATGACTATGTGGAGTGAAGTTTTTACAGGTTTTGTTGTCATGTCAAAACATTGAAATTCGCCAACCCCCTATTGACGAAAACTCACAGTTTTGACAATAAAGCGTCATCAAGGTCTTATGGCAGTTTTGGCCAAATTCAAAGTGGATCTGGTCAATTTTGTGGAAGATGTACATCAAAGTATAAAACATGACATTTCCTGTTGTCGGTAGTGGGCGCTATAAATATAACTAATGATTAGCATGTAGATGTGTTCAGGGCGGGACTGCCATCAATCCTGTAAAGTCTGGGGAAGATTGGACCATGTATGCTGGAGTTACAAACCACATCCTGTTTGGTGACAAAACATAGAAGTTTGACACCTTACCAAGGCTACATGGTTCGATGAAAACTCAAGCTTTGAACAACTTTTGATGTCCAATGTCTTGAGATGGTACACGCCAAATTTGAAGTTGATCGGATCAAATCTGTTGGAGGAGTTGATTAACGTACGATCCCTGGAAATGTCAAAATATGCATAAAATTCCACATAAAATTCAAAAGTGGTTGACTTCCTGTTGGGTTTAGGGTATGGCTCCAAGAGACTATTTTGTACGTCTTAGGGTGTTACATGTGCCTAACCAGTTTCATGTATGTCGGCGAAACCAGCTTCGGGGGCTGCTTTGTCAAAATACTGTAGGGGGCACTACTGAGCCATTCTGAGACCCCCCAAGATATGAAATTGTTCACCAGATGTGATGTGTGTGCAAAGTTTCATGAGTTTTTGAATATGTTAAGCCCCTCAAAAATGCGATTCATTTGAAGTAAGAAGAATAATTTCAATAGGGTCCTCGCACCGGGTCCATGTCATTGGTTCGACATCCCATTGGTTCAACATCCCATTAGTCCGACTGTCCGCGGTGCTGAACGGCTCGCGGCGGGCGTATGGTGCGCCGCGACTGGCTTGAGGCGGAGCAGGCTCACGGCTTATGAGTTTGTCACTTTCTTTTTCATTTTAACCCACACCATGATCTTTTCCTGACCCTAACCAAATGGTTTTTGTGCCTAAACCTAACCAGACCTTAACCACAGGGCATCGTGATGATTTCAGAACGGACTTCGGAACAATGAGTTTAATATGGTCGGAACAATGGGATGTCAAACCAATGGGCTGTCGAACCAATGAGCAGTTCCCCTCGCACCGCATAGTGCTTGGGCCCTAATTACATATATAATTACATATAAGCCAGTTTTCTTGAATTATGGTATACTAGGCACCCCAGCAAAACATCTATTCACTGTGAAAAGTCAGACTATTAATCATGTGATATGATAAAATGCATTACAAAAAGGTGTACTGAAATCTTTCAGCCTTTTTTTGTGACAGACAAAATATTTTCACGTCAACAAGAGGTTCCAGATCTAACGTGAAGAAGGTCTTGATAGTCATTACTGATGGAGCATCTCATGACCGGAATTTATTGGCATCTTCAGCAGCCTTAGCTGAGAGGGAAAAGATTGTTCGATTTGCTATTGGAGTAAGTTCTACTCAGTAAATTCAAGACCCTAATTAACTCTGTTGCACAGCACAACATGTCATGTCACTTGTTTTTAACATCTTCAGGTGGGAGATGCATTTGACAAACCTGAAGCAAAAAATGAACTGAACACCATTGCATCATCTCCCAAAGACAACCACGTGTTTCAAGTGGAGAACTTTGACGCTCTCGAACAAATACGACAGAGTTTGCAGGCCAAAATCTTCTCTATTGAAGGTATAGTTGTCTACATTAAAAAAACAATTATTGTCAAATATTACACACATCACATGTCAACCTGCAAACAAGCATGATTTTTGTGTGGATCAGTTTGCTTTAATTGAGTCTGATTTGTAATTTAGCTATATAAAAGTCCTTATTGGTTACAGGATCGCAAACAGGTGGAGAGTCACTGAAAATGGAAATGGCTCAAGAGGGATTCAGTGTAGCTTATGTGCCTGAGGTAAAAAACAAAACAAAACAAAACAAAACAAAAACAAAAACAAAAAAAATGACACAAACACCTTTTGTTGATGGAAAATTCAGATGTATTTGTAATGTATGCAGCACACATTTTCTTTGGACAATCTCTTATGACACACATGAGTATTTATTTTAATCACCTCCTTCTGTGTACGTGTAACAAAATGAATCAGTTTAATTCAAAATCCGTTTGAATTAAAGGGAATTCAGATGGCTGTGGTTGGTGCTAATGTGTGGAAGGGAGGCTTCCTGCAGTACTCACTCACAGGCCGGAAGATCATCTCCTTTGAGCCGAGTATAGACGTTGATAGTTATCTGGGTAAGGATATAAATACAAATGTGAAATGTACATCACAGACTTGCATCTTTTCTCTTCTCTCTGAATTCTAAAGTTATTATATACTGTTTATTGTGTATTATTTTATTTTTATATGTGTTTTATGTTATACTTGAAATGCCTAAAAAGAGTGTCAGTCAGATAAAGTCAGAGTACAAATCATGATGTTTTCACAAAAGTTTTGAAAGAGCAATGTGTAGGATTTAGTGGCATCTAGTGGTGAGGACTGCACACTGCAACCAGCTGAAACTTTTTTCCAAATGCCAAGCATGAACTCCCAGTTAGGATTCCTCCAGTGTTTGTTGTTTAGAAGATTTTTACCAGGAGCCGGATAATTGTAGAGGTCTCTTCCTCTCCAAAGCAAACGGATCAGGTGATTAAAACCAGTAAAAACACTGAATAAAGTAGTTTCACATTAAAAAAATCGGTGTTATTGTGATGCTGCTCATCGCAGAGGAGCGGCTAACAACAGTCATGAATGGCCCTACCTGGGGCCAATGTTTGTTTTGTCCATTCTGGGCAACTGTAGAAACACGGCATTGCAAAATGGCAATCTCTTGGCCGAGGACCTGCTCCCTTTGTCAAGCAGGTATAGCTGCAGCTGGGGGCAGCTGCATGTCCCGCCCACTAGTTACATTACTTGCCCACCACATCCACACGTCAGTCCATGATCAGCCCCCTTCGCCCCTTGGCTCAAAAGCGAAAGCCCTGAAGAAAGTGCTAAGTTAGCGTTTATCTAGCAATGAAGTATTAGGTTAAAAAAGAGATGGTTATTATTAGAATTAATAATGATAATAATAACTAACTTAAATCTGCAAAACTAGACAGTTTGCTCCGAGTTGACTTTTAACTGATGGGCTCTAATTTTAGGTTACTCCATGGCAGTTGCTAAAACAAGGCAAGGCACACTGACAATTGCTGGTGCTCCAAGATATCGTCACAAAGGATCTGTGGTGGTACTTACCCATCAATGGTATCGCCAAAATATCGAACCCTCTCAATATCAGGTGTGCATTTACTATTAAGGACAATGTAAAGCATGTTTCTTTTTTAAAACATTAAAAGTTTGCTTCTTTTATGTTATTATTTTTATTGATCATTTGTTTACACAGTCTCAGAGTGGTGAATATTTTGGGGCTGCTGTTTGTGCCATGGATGTGGATCGTGACGAATTCAGTGATCTAATCTTCATATCTTCCCCTATGTTCGTGGACACTGACAGAGAGGGAAGAGTTTACGTTTGCAGCATTAGTGGTTTGGTAAATGTCAGTTTTATCTGGCGCAGTTAATCTATTTGTGTTTTTATGACCGTGTTAACTTTGACTCTCATCCTTGTATACTCACCAGAATGTGGAGTGTCACTTCGATGAGTCTTCGTCAGTGCTGAGAGGGGCTGCATCTGTCAAAGGAAGGTTTGGGTCTTCTCTTGCTGTCCTGCCTGATCTTAATGTAGATGGTCTCAATGAGTTGGCGGTTGGAGCACCTTTGGAGAACGACGGCCAAGGCAGCATCTACATATTCCACGGCGAAGGAGGAGGAAGAATCAGTCTTTTTTACTCACAGGTGGGTGAGAAAAACAGATCTAGTATGTATGGCTTTAACACTATCTTCAATATAAAGATTTTCAATTGGATTAAAATATTTCCATTTACATAGAGAATTGCTGGCTCTGATGTCCAGCCAGGACTGCGGTTCTTTGGCATGTCGATAAGTCAGTCGTCTTTTGACCAAAGTATGGACGGTCTGCCTGACTTAGCTGTGGGTTCGAAGGGCGCAGTTGTCTTACTCAGGTCAGTCCAAGATGCTCCTGTTACACAGGGTGAATACTGGTTAAGTAGGACAGTTCTTACTGAGGGGGTTGAGTTCCCTTTTTGTGTGTGTGTTTTTCTTTTATCTTCTGTATAGTATAGCAGTGCTCCTAAGCTATTTTGCATAGTACACTGCTCAAAAGATTAAGGGAACACTTAATGGTCACAGTTTAACACCAAGTCATTTAAATTTCAGGGATATCAATCTGTCCATTTAGGAAGCACAAGCGATTGTGAATCAGTTTCACCTGCTTTGGTGCAAATTAAAGAAACAACAGGTGCAATGGAGAGGCAAAAGCAAGACAACTCCCAAAAAGGGAATGGTTTTACATGTGGTTGCCAGAGACAGTTGCTCTCTCCTTATCCTTCCTGACTGATTCTCCTCTAGTTTTGGGTTCTGCTTGTGTCCTTGTCACTAGTAGTAGCATGAGGTGGTTTGCACAGGTAGTCCAGCTCCTCCAGGATGACACATCCAAAAGTAGATTTGCAAGAAGGTTTGCTGTGTTTCCCAGCATAGTCTCAAGAGCATGGAGGAGATACCAGGAGACTGGCCATTACATGAGGACAGCTGGACAGGGCCGTAGATGAGCATCAACCAACAGCAGGACTAGTATCTGCTCCTTTGTGTGAGGAGGAACAGGAGGAGCACTGTCGGAGCCCTACAAAATGACCTCCAGCAGGCTACAGGTGTGCTTGTTTCTGACCAAACTGTCAGAAACAGACTCCATAAGGGGGGCATGAGGTGCCTGACGTCCTCTAGTGGGACCTGTGCTCACAGCCCAGCACTGTGCAGCTCGATTGGCATTCACTAGAAACCCCTAGAACTGGCAAGTCCACCATTGGCGCCCTGTTCCCTTTACAGATGAGAGCAGGTTCACACTGAACACATGTGACAGGCATGTAAGAGTCTGGAGATGCTGTGGTGAACTTCACACTGCCTGCAACATCATCCAGCATGACTGGTTTGGCGATGGGTCAGTGATGGTCTGGGGAGGCCTATCCTTGGAGGGTCACACAGACCTCCATGTCATAGCCAACCTTACCCTGACTGCTGTTAGGTACCAGGATGAAATCCTCAGAGCGACTGTCAGACTTTATGCTGGTGCAGTGGGCCCTGGGTTACTCCTGGTGCAGGACAATGCCAGGTCTCATGTGGCCAGCAGTTCCTGGATGATGAAGGTATTGATGCCATTGACTGGCCCTCTCATTCCTTGACCTAAATTCAATTGAGCACCTATGGGACGTTATGCATCAGTGCATCCGATGCTGCCAAGTACCACCACAGACTGTCCAAGGGCTCACTGATGCCCTGATCCAGGTTGGGGAGGAGATCCAGGACACCATCCACCGACTTGTCAGGAGCATACCCAGACGTTGTCCAGAGTGCATACAGGCACATTATCAGTTGGTTCAGCCTGTGATTTCAATTGTTTTACTTTGATTTTCAATGTGATTTTGAATCCAGCCCTCAGTGGGTTGATGATTTTGGTCTCCATTGGCTGTTGTTAGGTCATTTTGTTCTCAACAAATTATACAATTTACATCAGTAAGATTTTCAACTTAAATAATTTGTTCACCAAGATCTGATGTGTGATTTAAGTGTTCCCTTTTTATGAGCAGTGTATTATATTAAGAGCTAAGACATTTGGATCATAATTAAATATGAGGCAGAAGGTAAATTATCATAAAGTGTCCCACTTTACCCATATTCACCCCATTTTACCCTTAAGTGCAACTCTACTATGATCAATCAATGTATTCTCCTACTCTTTCCATTTCCAGAACAAAGCCTATAGTAATGGTTGAAGCTGCAGTGTCATACAGCCCAAACCTAATCCCTACTCAAAACATAGACTGCTCAACACAACTGGAGCACACAGCAAAAATCTGCTTTACCATGACCAGACACTCCACAGTACAACAAGGTGCCTGATTCTCTACTGTCCATACATTTAAATACTTGTTTTGAATACATGAGTAACCTCTTAATGAAACTCTAATCCATTCCAGCTCAAGCACAGATCAAATATACTATAAAGCTGGATGCCACCCGCAAAGTCCCAAATAACCGTGCTGTTATTAGCGAGAAAGTACGAGAGGTGACTGAAGAAGTTACTCTTGACTTAATCCGGCCCAAATGCAGCACAGTGAAGTTCTTTGTTGAGGTGAGTTGCTAGATGTACACAACTTTAAAATCTGATAGATTCACGTAGTTTTTGGCTTTTGAAGAACCTGTTTAATTGGAAAATCACAGCCTTTCTCACAATAAAAAAAAATCCCATGTTTAATAGAGAGGGAAAGTCCCTCCCCTTCCTGTGGACCACCGTGTTTTTGGGAAAAAATATGCGGTTAGATATTGCAAGTCAAAAAACCACAGTCACTAGATAAAACACATAAGGTAAGCTAACGTTACATTTGTGTGTGGAACATAGCTAAGTTACCCAGCTAGCTGGTATTGACGATGTATATGGTGTGAGACGAGAGATTTAGGGTGCTTTCACACCTGCCCTGTTTGGTTCGGTTCAGTCAAACTCAAATTTGTTTGGGCAGGTGTGAACACAGCAATCGCACTCGGCTGTGCACCAAAACAACCGGACCGAGACCTTCTTGAAGACCTTCTTGGTCCAGTTACAAACAAACTCTGGTGCAGTTCGTTTGTGGTGAGAACGTGTTCTGACCTGGATCTAAACCAACTGCAGTCACATGACACATTGTTTGGGTTAAACATGAGCATGTTACAGTCCTGGAGGATTATTAATGTGCACCTCCTCCTGTACTGCCTTAATATGCACATTCAGCACATCCAATGCATCAAAACATTGTTTTCTAGTTGGAGCCGCGCCTCGTTTTCAAACTGTATGGTTTGACTAAAATGAACAATGACAGCAATATAGTCCACGATGACCAGCGCTAAAATCAACCTGCGTAGTTGTCCCTCCATTGTGACATTAGAAAGGGTCGCATACTCTTCTTCAACGTTTTGTTTACTTCCAGGATTTTTCCCACATGCAAATTCTGACCAATCAAGAGCAAGGCATTTTATCTGGTCTGCTTGTAAATGCTGCCGTGAGAACATGAACCAACTCTCGGTAACTATGCAACTTTGTAACAAAATTAGTCCCTGATTCAGACCAAAGCAAGACAACTCTAGGTCTGAAAGTTCACTGAGCAGTTTCACACAAAATTAATGGTACTATGACAAACTGTGACAGTCCTGACTTGCAAAACTATATTTTCAATTGAAAATCATGTGTAATTCATGGCACAATTCAAACAGGATTAAAAAAAAGCATTTGTCTCCGCATGTTGACTACTGGACATATTTTTTTCTGAAATAAGCTCCCATGGGAGACACCGGGAGGGGATAGACTTAGCCTCTCTGTACTCATGTTGTGTTCACACCCTAAAAAATGGTATTTCATAATAGTACCTTCCTCTTTCAGGCTTGTCCAGATGATTCTCTCAATGCTCTTTACAACGAACTCAAATTCACCTTTGATGGTCTGCCTTCTGACCAAAATCTCAGTCCGAGTCTCGCCCTGCAGGCGCAGCAAACCACCACTCATCCTGTAAGTAATCTCTAAAGACCTTTAAAGAACTTGCTGAGACGTGGTCTTTATTTTCTGTCACAGTATTAACTCAAGCACAAAGCTTAGCCTTTGTGAATGCAGTAGTGGCAGCTTCATCACCTTTGTCTCAAGCCTTTCATTAGTGTATAATCACCTGAAAATAAGAATCATTGTGTTTTTGTTATCTTAGAATAAGCTGTTTATATCTACATAGGGAGCAGGTCCCTGACCATGGAATCCACCATGTTGCACTGCCGTGTTTCCTACAGTAGCCCAGAATGGACAAACCAAATACTGGCTCTAGATAGGCCCATATGTATTGTTGCGTTGCCTGTCCGTGATGAGCTGAACAGCGTCAGAACACAAAGGTTTTGAATGTGAAACTACATAATTTAGTGTTCTTACCAATTTAGAACAACCAGGTCTGTTTGTTTAAGAGAGAATTTTACCTCTGCTGATAATTCAGCTCCCAGGAAAAACCTCCTGAACAATTAACACTGAAGAAATTCTAACCGGGAGTTCACACTTGGCACATGGGAGATGTTTCAGCTGGTTGCAATTTGCAATTCTTACCACTAGATGCCACTAAATCCTTCACACTGCTCCTTTCACCAACACTCTGTATTTCAAACTGTCCTCCACAGTTAGGGTTTGAGATCAACTGCGGCACGGACAACCAATGTGTAGATAGCCTGAAAGTGGACTTCAACTTTACCAGGTGAGTCACGAGAGTGAAGTCTAACTTTGGTGTGTGGTCACATGGTCTCATATACGCAAGTGCAAGGGGTTTGCACGCCAACTGTACAGCACGCTGTTTTACTTACAGTGTATTCTTTCAGGTCTTGGGTTCAGTACAGGCAGAAATAGTTCAGCTATGCCTCTTTCAGTGTGAAATATCATAGATGGTTTTATAGTTTTCAAGTCTTTTTTTTGTACATTGTTGAACTGTTGGATGTTACCGTCACACAGTGGCATTGTTCTAGGCAGGGGCATTGTTGACTTTGATAAGATTTTTAGATTTAGTTTAGTCCCAGCTGCTTCCTGAAAATTGTGTTTGGTTTAAAGTCACATTTGTGTCTTTTTTTGTTTTGTATAAGTCAAGTTTTAGTCAGTGGATTCATTCATCTTCCATAACTGCTTATCCTGTTAGGGGTATTAATCTAATAAGCTATTAGTCAGTTGATTTCAGTTTTGATTTTAATCAGTGCTTTAGCCATAATTCTATCAGACAGTTTAATGATACTGTAATGGATATGGCAGAAGGATATTTTTCCTGGCTTTATAAAACTCGAGTGAGAAGTGAACATACGTCGATCTTGTGTTCAGCTCCCTCACATAGACCTGTCGTAGACTTTAGAGATCCCTGTCTCTTTAACAACACCTTGAGGCTTTTACTTGAAATGTCTCCTTTACAGGATGAATTGTATTCACCTCTGTGTTCCCTTTAATTTTTGTCTGATGTCATCATCAGATTAAAATTTGTATTTTTTTCATGTACCATGGATGAACAGACCTACTGGGCACAGGCCCTGGGGCCCAAAGTATCAAGGCCCCCGTTTAGTCTTCACCTGCAACATGTCACTTAAATTAACATGTACTGACGGGAAGAGACTCAAAATGACCATAAAGAAACACAAAACAACCCAAAAGAAGACACAGAATGACTAACAAGTGTCACAGTAAACACAACCCTGGGCACTTGATACTATTACGTAGGACAGTGGTTCCCAACTGGTCCAGTAAAGAAGTCCAGATTTCTCCTTCATTAGTTCACAGTCCACACAGTTAAATATATTCAGGATCATGCTTGCGCTTGGTCATGTAGTCAAGCTAGTTCTCTGTCTCTGTTAAGCAGTTATCCATTAGTCATTCACTCTACAGCAGGAGTCAGCACTTGAAAATAAAAGCTCTGTGCCGGAAATCCAGTGTTCTTCAAAATAAAGTGTGTTTTTTACAAACTTGACACATTCATAAGTCACTTGCGATCCATTCAGAATGGACCTGAGACCCACTTTTGGACATCAACCCATCACATGAGAACCACTGACTTTGGACATACACTCATGTAGGGCTTCCAGAGCTTGGTGGCTCGCACATATATTACTAGAGAGTCAGCGTTTGGCTGCCAGGCTAAAGGTAAGGGATGTGGGCCTACCTGCTGCCTTGCAGTCCGGATACCGATCCGATGGCTGTTACTCTGTCAGCTCCCTCTCTGTGGTCCTACACTGCTTAGTGTCAGTGCTGCATTCACAGTTTATTTATAGACATTAAACACGCAGATAATATCTTGAAACAAAACTTCATAGAGAAATGGAGGCTATTCCACCATCTGTCCTCCTCATGGCGCTTAGAAACATCTCTCATCAACTCTGGTTGCACACCTGGTCCGAATCATCTCTCTTAATTACTTCGGCACGCCGTCTTTCAAACTAACACAGGCTCTATGCCTTGGTGAGCCCAACCCACCTAGCCTGACAGCTAAAAGGAAAGTGTGCCAACACAAGAGACACAAAATGACCACAAAGAGGCACAAAACTACGTCAAAATGCACAATGACTACACAGAGAGGTAAAACCACCACACCACCACACTCTCAGAGAGCTCCTAACTTAGCCTACAGCCCACAGCCACAGGGAGCCCGCCACAGAGACCACCCCGACCAGACAGACCGGGGTGGACTCCACACATGGTGTGGAGATTAGGAAAAATTAAAGAGTAAAGATTAAAATAATATTAATAATAATAATAAATAAATAAATAAATTAAGATTTAGATACTAAAATGCATATAGATTTAAAAATAAATTATTTAAAAGCATTAGAAAGTAAAAATAACATATAATAGAAGAATTAAAAGAGTAAAAGAAATCAGTTAAAAGCTAAATTAAAAAGGTGAGTCTTGAGCCTCCTTTTAAAAACATCAACAGTCTCTGCAGTCCTGATGCTCTCCGGCAGGCTGTTCCATAAGTGAGGGCCATAATGGCTGAATGCAGCCTCCCCGTGGGTTTTTGTTCTAACTCTTGGAACAATTAAAAGGCCGGTGCCGGAGGACCTCAGGATCCGCGAGGGTTGATATGATAAAAGCAGGTCAGATAAATAAGATGGCCTAAGACCATTAAGACATTTAAAAACTAATAAAAGAACCTTAAAATCGATCCTGAAACACACGGGGAGCCAATGCAGCGATTGTGGAACTGGTGAAATGTGCTCCCGCCCTTAATACTAGCTTATCATTAATCGATAATTAATCGTTAATTTTTTTGATGAGCCAATAATGAATTTTGATCATTGACCCATCCCTAGAAGGGACAGAAACTTTTACCTTAGTGAGGAGGTGTGGTTGACACAGACACATCACCACACAAGTACAAATGCTCACGGTGGCATAGGTGATGGCGTAGGCTCTACACAGAGCTGACACACAAGTATAAATCCCGCTTAAGATGGCAAACATGCATGGTAACATGCTGACGTTAGCATTAAGCTGTGCCTCAGCCTCAGAGAGACGCTACTATGGCTGAAGACTTGTTCTCCTCCACCTTCACCTTTCTCTTTCCTCATAATCTATCAGTTCCTCCGTGGTTAAAGTGGGCATTGATGAACTGCTGGATGTCACCGTCTTAGTGGAGAACACAGAGGAAAACTCCTACAACAGCCATGTCATTCTCACGTACCCTGCCGGGTTCTCCTATAGGAAGTTTACAAGTCTGCAGGTAAGGTGTCTGGACCTGTCGGCTTCTGTTCATCTCGACTGCGCTCTGGTGTCACACAGCAATTCAAGTTTTGTTTGTTTCTGATAAAAGGGAAGAATAGAATGCAACTCCTTGGACAGTGAAGACGGCTTAACGCGAGGAAAGACAGACTGCACTGTTGACAAGCCTATTCTTAAGAGCAAAACAAAGGTTTGTTGTTGGTACAGAAGCATCTTTTCTCACCGCTGCAGAGACAGGAGATACAATCTGATCTTGCTTGTTTCATTTCAGGCTCTCTTCATCGTCTCCTATGGAATCGAAACCAACAGTCAACTTGACAGGAGGATTTTTGTCACTGCAAATGCTACCAGGTACTGCTCAGCTGTCTGCTTACAACAATACGCGAGTGTACAATCATCCATTTACCATTTGTACAAATGATTTCACCTCTCTGTTAGTGGGAATCAGGTGCACTCACCCCAAAGTGAACCCTACAAAAAGAAAGGGATTGATGTGAAGTACGGCATTTTTGCTACAATTGAAAGGTTTGTGTTATTTAAGGTGATACAAAATAAATAAATTAAAAAGTAATAATCATTTTAATCTGGTGTATTATTGCCCAAAATCACATTTTTAAAATGTCTGTTCAGTTTTCTCAGCTACACCAATTTCTCTTACGGAAAGAACGATTTGCAGAAACCAGTCCAACAACATATTGTGGTAAAATATCTTATCAGTAATTAATTCTTAGTTCATTTGCTGGAGTTAGACTTCATCTTAACACTCTTTAATACCAACAACCTTTTTCTATTCTCCCCTTCTCTTAGGTTACAAATGACATCAGAGCACTGAATTTCACTGTGGTGATAAATGTGCCAGTGAAGCTCGGTGATAAAGACATCTGGGTGGATTCAGACAGTTTGACGGTAACATGTGGGAACTTGTATTTACCCAACCTCCCTCATAAATGTCTCAAATGTAGCTGTTTTTATGCAACTGCAGCATCATGCATGGATGATTGTGGTTATATGGAGACCACATCTGGTCGCTCCTAAACTGACATGATGCGGCTCTATTTCAGATTCCAGACTGCCAAAAAGACACAGATAAGGAACCTACCGACACAGATTTTGTTGCCAAGATTGAGAAAACTAAGACTGTGGTAAGTTCGATGAGGAGCTACATCCATGTGAGGGACTGTTCTTTATTTATCAGAGGAAGGGAGTGGCTGGGATGTGACTTTGTTGTTGCGGCAAACAGCACAGGACTGTCTGTCTGTCTGTCTATCTATCTAAAACCAAAATGCAAGAGATTCTCACACTGAGCCGAAACGAGCGCTCATAACTTTGATGAATAACATAAACAAACAGTCTCAAACAGCATTTTGCTGTTGTTTTTAGTGTGTGGTGTTTCACCGCTGGCAAGGTGTGGAGTGGAGGAGAGACAGAGGGTTGGAGAGTTGACGACAGCTGCACTTACTGCGCACTGTGCATGAAACCTTCGCTGGTACAAACACCTGTGAAAGCTGA